GGACAAGATCTGATATTAAGATTTATGGAGCCTCAAGAGAATGACGATCATGCATTAAAATTGCATTTGGGAATTACTATTCAGATCACCTTGAGGTAAAAATAAATTAGGTCTTGTAAATACCCAAACAGGTACACCTAAAAAATATAATAAGAATATTTAGTCAATATTTAGTAAGAGAATTTCTGAACTGGCACTTCTTTTTTAAAAGAGAATATACCTTTTCAGAATGAATTTTAAAGGGATAGTTCCTTGAGCGAGAGCTTGTTAAGACCAGACTTGCAGAGGAGCCTACTATAAAGCCTTTTCGGCATCTTAGTCAAGCAAACATTCATTAAATATTGTAGCATTCTGCCCAACTAAATATTTTATGCATTAAAGGGACCTCTTGGCTCAAGGGTAAGCTTCAGGCATTTTGAATACGAGGCGTCATCCTTAGAACCGGATTGCAGGTCGTCGAAGTTAGATGCGAGGACAACCCTCTCTACAAATCTTCAGTTTAGCAATTGTGGCATCTCTTCTCCTCCCTTTAGCCTAGGCTACTAGCGCTGCAACATCGACTCTCAATCAGACGCCATATGGCCAATTTTCCTTAATTGTATCCTCATTTGTTCCAAGCTCTTGCGAGTGGCCCATCAAGTGGTTGTTTAGAGACCTACTTTACATGATTATAAGCTTATACAAATTGATATTATGAGGAATTGTTTCCTTAAAATCTTCCCAGATTTACCAATTGCTCACATTTAGTGCTGGGATGTTCGAATTAAAGCTCAATGAAACATTTTCTCTAAGAAACCGCCGATTAAAGGATCTCAAAATTTTGATTACCAAACTCTAACAAAGGATAAGAAAAAGAACAAGACGAGCTCGAAGCTACAGTCCTTCTTGTATTAAAGCACACGCTTGCTTTAAAATGTTGAATTAGTGCAAATGCAAAAGACAAACACTCTTTGGCTGATAAGGCGAAGCAAGCCTCTAGGTCAAAATTAATTATAAAAATAAGTGATGATAAGGCCTGGTCTACAAACTTGCAAGTATAGTCTGAATTATTGACACAGCCAGCAGTGTAGGTTAGTGTTGATGTTTTGTAAATGCAAGTCTTATAGAATCCTGTGCTTCAGGATCAAAAGTACAATCCAGACCAGATACGAAAGTTTTTCGGGAATTAAAGCTAGGCAAAATTAATTTGCAAATCGAAGGTATGAAGACCAAGATAGTGTAACCTTTTGTGTGGTCGCAGTGTCTTTTCGTTGCATAGACGTTGTTGGACCATGTTTTCGCAACTTGGTCATATTGGTAGGAAGACTTAGAGGAACAAACCTAATCCGGTTCAAAATTGAACCTAATCAAAGCAAGCAGTGCCACAACATTTGTGGATTGGAACACAAGAGACTAAGGCAAAGCAAGTCATAGACTTGGTGTTAGGATTAAAAACAGGATAGACGCGGCGGAGGGTACAGCTAGTGGGCTGACAGTAGGCCTGTTTTACCGTAGACGTGGTCCATGAAGCAAAGGCTTGATTGTGAGAATTACTCGGGGTCTTTAGCCTCAAGTTAGTCTAGCAGACACAGAGTGTGGGAAATAACGCCTCGTGAAGTACATATGAGGTGGCAGGGGTCAAGTGGAATACTTGAACTAGGGAGGTTACAGACGGATCCTACGGGGAAAGATGGAGATTCTAATAGGACCTAGGGGAGAACAGAGTAACAATATGGCAGACTCTGATCAACATTCCCAGCACAAGGATGAAGGGGGGTGAGAAAGCCAGTGTGGAGTGTGGAGAGTGGAGAGTTCTCATGAAAGCCGCTTAAAAGTGCACACCATACCACAATTAAACAAGCAAGTAAAAATTGTGAGTGAAGGCGTGATAAGAGGATATAGGATTGGCGATTAGCCTAGGGAGGAAGGAGAGATACCACGATTGTTTAGCAGACAATTGGTCAAAGAATCGGCTTCAGTTGTCTCTGACGCGTTTTAGTGTGGTGCTAAGACCTTCTAGGCTCACTGACGATGCCGACTACGATGCCGGCGAAACTCTTGAAAATGTACCACGTCGGCGGTCTGAATCTGGAAATAATCATGCATACAATGGATTCCGGACTAGGTTCGTGCATCTAGGTTGACCTACCAACATGGACAAGCTGCGAAAACAAGGTCAAACTACTTCTATACGACTTCTATATAATCATGAATAGAAACTAAAATGAATAGACATAGATAGATATAGGACGGTTTGGCTAATAATCTTTCGTATTGGTCTTGCTATTATCGTTCGAGTGTCTATGTGTTTGGATGTGTATGTACCACAATACCGGTCCTAAACCAGAGTGATCAAAAAAGGCCAATGTCAGGCTCTGATGATCGAGCCATAATGACTAAAGAAATATCCCTGGCCAAGACCGCCTAAGTCCGCAAGCAAAGATGGTTGAGATACTCAGATGGAAGTTTGTAGACAAATTCAGGTTACGAAGCCATTTGAAGATATGAAGACCAAGATGTTGTGGCCTCTGGTATGGTACCAAGTCCACTGTCTGATGCTGGGAGTCATGACAACTACTATTGCAGACAACTTTAGACTAGGTGCGTTCTAATAAGTCGCCATGACAACAATACCAAGTTGCGATAACGAAGTCAACCCACGTCTACGAAACAATTGGTTCTAACCACTCAGTCCATGGTCATTAAAGTTTAACCACACAAGGAAAGGCATGACTGGGGCTGCGTAATCTCTAATGCGTGATTCAGTTAAGGAGCTCAATCTAGCATGTTTGGTGAGTGTGAGTAAAGTTAGAACCATTCGTGGGCTAAGAAGTTGAATCGCCTTCTTTTGGATGACAGTTCAACACCCTCCCTCTTCTTCAATCAATCAATCAATCAAGCATAAATAGTTCTTATGAAGACCAAGATGGTGTATCCTTCTTTTTGGTCGCAGTCTCTTTTAGCTTTATAGTGAGGGTTCGATCTTGTTTTCGCAACCTGGTCGGAGCGTCAGGCAGACCTTGTGGGACGTACATAGTCACCTGTCCTCTGCCATAGTATTCGTGATTTACACCATTGGACCATTGGTTGGGTACATTCCCAAATGTTTCGCCGGCATCGTAGTCGACATCGTCAGTGAGAGGCGTCATCATCAGCACAGAGTTACAACTTATCAAAGTGACAAATTAAGGCAATCCCCTTGCCCAATATTCTGTTCAACTGTTGTGGCATCACTCCTCGCCCTTATTTTTTCTTCTACCTTCTAGTTCCGCATCTCTTTCTCTCAACTCCACTTCATATGGCTCATCTTCTTATACACACAACTCTGTGCTCTTGTTTCCTCCAATGTCGTCTAAGAGTGTGTTGCTGCAAGTGGGTTTAGTGGAGCATTATCATCTCCACCACCGGTACCAAATGCGTTTGCAGGGCTCCTGGCCTACATTCTGCTCCATTTTTTTTCGTACCCACTTGCCAATTGGCCGCTGCTAAACATCAAAATCACCTAATTTTCGTATGTAAGCAGAGTTTCGAGACTACCAGTAAATTAGTTATATGGGATGAATTCACCCTATTTCGTTTAAGTTGATGAAGGACTGTTAGTGTATACGAAAATTAAGTAATGTAGTCTATTGTTATCGCAAAAATACCCAAAGATACTCGTGGCAATGTGGCAGAGTGGTTAACGTGTCAAGCTCACATTCCTCACTGTCACTATTCGACTCCCGCTGAGGGACCTATTCGTCTCCTTTTTGATGTATTCGTTGAGTCTCTAAGTCTGCTCAGACAGTACGCCTGTGGGATGTGGGGTCATTTGCTCCGAGGAAACTCTTAAGAAAAAACCTTTCCGAAAGAAATCAAATACTGGAATGATTCTTAACTTCCAGTCGAACCATACTTATTGCGTGAAGATTGGAATACTCCGAAATATTGTCATAAAAAGCTTACGCCTCACTGATTCTGAGTTCTAGCAAGAGGAACTGGGAACACTAACTCAGATTTGTCTTGGAAATGGATATTCAAAAGAAACAATACGATGCAACATACGGATGGTGATGAACCAATGGAAAGACGGAGAATATGAAAGAAAAGTAAGAGGAGTAGAAGAAACATTATGGATATGTCTACCCTCTTGCTAATTGGCTCGGAAGCTACGGCCAATAATGGGCCGTACACACACAGAAACGTCATCCCAATACCCTAGGACTTTATTCGAATGTTAACTTGTAAAACTAGAGGAGTGTGATTTTTAAGATTCAAAGGAAAAAAAGGGAAGAGGGACAATATCACACCAATGGTAATGGCTTAAGCCGTACAGGGGCCCCAAGAATGAGACACACTGTAGGTGGGGATGAGGGAGAGGATAATTGAGTCCCGGGTTTGAAGCCTATAGAGGAAGATTACCAGGAACTGAAATGTGCATGGACATGTATCTGTTCATCATCTGCTCTAATTGCTCTAATATGACGTAATGAAAGACAGGAATGGAAAGTTCTTAGGCAACCGAACTTCGGACAGCCAAAGTGTGATTTTGATAAATGAGATGTATTCACCCTATTTCGTTTAAAATGGTGAAGGACTGGTAGCAGAATTTTTCTACAATGATATGAATAGAGCTGACGTTTCCATTGAATTTCACAGAGACTTGCTTTTCCAAAAGTTATTCTTATCCAGGGTGGACTGCATTTTCGACCTCGCATAGGTCTTATCAATACCCTCAGCGGGAGTCGAAACTTGACAGGAAAGAATGAGAGCTTGACGCGTTACCACTCTGCCAAATTTCCACGAATGCCCTTGGGTATTTTTGCTATAACAATCGACTACATTACTTAATTTTCATATACACTAACAGTCCTTCATCAACTTAAACGAAATAGGGTGAATTCATCTCATATAACTGATTTACTGGTAGTCTCGAAACTCTGCTTATATACGAAAATTAGGTGATTTTGATGTTTAGCAGCGGCCAATTAGCAAGTGGGTACGAAAAAAACGAGAGCAGAATGTAGGCCAGGAGCCCTGCAAACACATCTGGTACCGGTGGTGAAATTGATTATGCTTCATTAAACCAACTTGTAGCAACACACTCTTAGACGACATTGGAGGAAACGAGAGCACAGAGTTGTGTGTATAAGAAGATGAGCCATATGAAGTGGAGTTGAGAGAAAGAGATGCGGAACTAGAAGGTAGAAGAAAAAATAAGGGCGAGGAGTGATGCCACAACAGTTGAACAGAATATTGGGCAAGGGGATTGCCTTAATTTGTCACTTTGATAAGTTGTAACTCTGTGCTGATGATGACGCCTCTCACTGACGATGTCGACTACGATGCCGGCGAAACATTTGGGAATGTACCTAGCCAATGGTCCAATGGTGTAAATCACGAATACTATGGCAGAGGACAGGCGACTATGTACGTCCCACAAGGTCTGCCTGACGCTCCGACCAAGTTGCGAAAACAAGGTAGAACCACACTATAAATAGTTCTTACTCAACTTTCTACCAGTGTCCCTCCAATTCAACGTATTCCCTAACCTATTAATTCCAATAACCTCTTATTTT